CTAACTCTCTATCCCTCTCCCTTCCTCTCTGTAAAAAATCAATAAAATATATTTAAAAAGAAGAAAAGAAAAAAATTATTTTTTAAATCTTGGGATAGGCAGAAGGATATACCCAAACCAACCAACCAACCAAACAAACAAATAAGTGAATAGAATGTACAAAATAGACACGTATTTTGGGAGAAACGCAGGGTACGGGGGATAGGGAGTGCTGGGGAAATAGCTTATGAAGGTTTTATTATTATTATTATTATTATTATTATTATTTGTCGTGGTAAAAAACATAACATAAGCATACCACCTTAATCATTTCTAAGAGTACGACGGTTGTGCAACATATTTCTAGAATCCTTTCCTCTTGCAAAACAGGAACTTGTAACCCTTGAACAACAACTACCACTTCCCCCACTAGGTCAGCCCCTGGCAATCACCATACATTCTGTTTCTATGGGTTTCACTTCTCTGGGCACCTCACTGCATCGAGTTTGTGTCTTTTCTGTGACTGGCTCATTTCACTCAGCATCATTCCCTCAAGGCTCACCCATGGTGTTGCCTGTGGCAGAATTTCCTGCCTTTAAAAGTCTTAATGATATCTCATTGCATCTGTACACCACATCTTCTTTGCCTCCTCATCTGCTGATGAGTACTTGGGTTGTTTCCAGCTCTTTGCTCTTGTGAATAATGCTGCAATGAACAACAGTGTGCAAATATCTCTTTTAACAAAAATATATTTTATTGATTTTTTTACAGAGAGGAAGGGAGATGGATTGAAAGTTAGAAACATCAATGAGAGAGAAACATCGATCAGCTGCCTCCTGAACACCCCCTACTGGGGATGAGCCCGCAACCAGGGTACATGCCCTTGACCAGAATCGAACCTGGGACCCTTCAGTCCGCAGGCTGACGCTCTATCCACTGAGTCAGGGCTGCAAATATGTCTTGAAGATCTTATTCTCAATTCTTTTGGGTACTCATAAGTGGGATTGCTGGGTCATACGGTAGTTGTGTGTTTTTTTGACGTCCACACTATTTTCCATAGCGGCTACACCATTTCACATTTCCACCTGCATTGCAGAAGGATCCAATTCCTCCATATCCTTGCCAACACTTGCTATTTTTTTTGCTTTGCTTCATGTTTTGTTTTGTTTTGTTTTTTCCTTCAAATTGGGCCTTTATTAGAGACATGTAAGCGTTACATTACCTAAGGATAAAAGAGGTAAGCATGGCTAATTCATCTTTTTTTAAAAAAATATATTGTATTGATTTTTTACAGAGAGGAAGGGAGAGGGAGAGAAAGTTAGAAACATCGATGAGCGAGAAACATCGATCAGCTGCCTCCTGCACACCCCCTACTGGGGATGTGCCCGCAACCAAGGTACATGCCCTTGACCGGAATCGAACCCGGAACCCTTTGGTCCGCAGGCCGACGCTCTATCCACTGAGCCAAACCAGTCAGGGCATGGCTAATTCATCTTGATTTGCTCCGTTTTTGATAGTGGCCATACTGATGGATGTGAAGTGACTTCTCATTGTTGTTTTGATTTGCATTTTTCTGATGATTAGGAATGGTGACCATCTTTCCACAGTTTTCTAGCCAGTTGAATATCTTCTTTGGAAAAAAAATGCCTGATTCAAATTCTTGGTCCATTTTTGAATAGTTTAAATTTTTCAATATGTTTTTATTTATTTTTTTTAGAGAGAAAGAGGAAGGGAGGGAGTGAGTAAGTGAGGGATACACCCACGTGAGAGGGAAACATCAATTAATTGGCTGCCTCCTGTATATGCCCTGACTGGGGGGTCGAACCCACAACCTGGTTATGTGCCCTGACCGGGAATCGAACCGGCGACCTTTTGGTGCATGGGACGATGGCCAACCCACTGAGCCGTACCAACCGGGCAACTCAGACTTCCTTTTCTTTCCCTCCACACAGGGTTCTCTGAATAAATCCCAGCCAGACAGCCGCCTAGAGCACCTTCCCCCACCTCTGGCTGTCCCCTCCTCAGGGAAGAAAGAAGAGATTCAATACGCAACCCTCAAATTTCATAAGATAAAGCCTGGGAGCCCTCAGGAACAGGAGGGCGGCACTGAAAACGAGTACTCGGAGATCTTGATGTGAAAGTGGGAACTGCGGAGAATTAAAAGCCCTCTGGGTGGCCCTAGCTGGTTTGGCTCAGCGGATAGAGCGTCGGCCTGCGGACAGAAGGGTCCCAGGTTGGATTCCAGCCAAGGGCCCATGCCCGGGTTGCGGGCTCAATTCTCAGCAGGGGGCGTGCAGGAGGCAGCCGATCGATGATTCTCTCTCATCATTGATGTTTCTATCTCTCTCTCCCTCTCCCTCTCTTTTCCTCTCTGAAATCAATAAAGTAAAATAAAAACCCTGAAACTAAAAATCAAAACAAAACAAAAAAACCCCCTGGGTGATGAGTTAAAAGTATGGTGGAAAGAACACTGGCTTTGGAACCAAAGAGTTGTGAGTTCAAATCCACACTCCGCCCCTTTCCTGAGTAAAGTGACAGACGAGTCCCTGCCTCCCTGTGCCTCCGTTTCCTGCCCCGTGGGACCAGCGGAGAGGCCCCACCTGAAAGTTTGTGGTGAGAATTCTGGGAGTGAAAGCCTACCAGAGCACCTGGCTCAATGTGTGGGCTGCACACGTGCTGAGTCCCTGGGCTTTGCACGGAAAGGTCCTACCGGGAATTTCTCCTGACCCTGGAGGGGACCAGCACCAGTCCTTGCACCCTGAGGTTCCTCGTCCTGGGACGACTCACCCAGCCTGTATCTGCTTCTGTCTTTGAAAGTGGAACTCAAGGGATGCACTTGGAGCAAGTGGATCAAGGTTTGGAAATGGTGAATCTTACACATGATATAAGTGGTTTCTATAACTGGGATCATACAGCCTGTCCTCCGTGTCTGTTTTTCTTAAACTTGGCCTTGCATTTGTTGAGGATCCCACTGTGGGAGCGTATCATGGTTTGTGTACCCATATTTTTCTATGGACGAATCTTTGGCTGGTTTCCAGTTTGGGGCGATGACGCACAAAGCTGCTGTGAGCATGCTTGTACCTGACTGTTTCAAGGTTTGTTTTCGTTTCTCTCAAGTGTTGGGGAGGCAGGGCCAAGAGGAGAGTCACATGTTGGGAGCGGGAGGGTCTCTGGGACCTCCCCATAGGGACCATCACCCAACAGGCAGCTAGATAGATGGGTGGCCTGGAGCTCAGGAGGAAGGTGGTGACTGGCGATGGACAGTGGGAAACATCAGGGTCCAATGATCCTGAGAATGAACACCTACTGATGTGGGTTGGATTGTGTCCTCAGCGCTAAGACCTGGAAATGGGATTTTATTTGGAGACTAGAGGCCTGGTGCATGAAATTCATGCACCGTGGGAAGGGGGGTTACCCTCAGCCCAGCCTGCACCCTCTCCAATCCAGGACCCCTCAGGAGATGTCCGACTGGCAGTTGGACATCCCTCTTGCAATCCGGGACTGCTGGCTCCTAACTGCTCACCTGCCTACCTGCCAGATCGCCCCTAACCACTCTCCCCTGCCAGCCTGATCGCCCCTAACTGCTCTCCCCTGCAGGCCTGATTGCCCCTAACTGCCTCTGCCTTGGCCCCCTGCCACCATGGCTTTGTCTGGAAGGATGTCTGGAAGATGTCCTGTCTAATTAGCATATTACCCTCTTATTAGTATAGATAGGGTCTTTGCAGATGCAATCAAGTTATTATGAGGACCAACTGGATTATATGAGAGCCTAAATCCAGCGAACAATGTGCCCCCCCCACACACACACACAATGAAGGGAATTTGGAGACAGAGACAGAGGTAGAGGAAAAGCCCATGTGACGATGGAGGCTGAGATTGGAATGGTGACACTGCAAAGCCAGGAAGGCTGAGGAGGCCAGAAGAGGTGAGGAGGGACTCTTCCCTGGAGCCTCCCAGGGGAGCGTGGCCCCGCCAAAGCCTTGATGTGGGTCTTCCAGCCTCCAGGCCTGTGAGAGAACACGTTTCCTTCCTTCCTTCCTTCCTTCCTTCCTTCCTTCCTTCCTTCCTTCCTTCCTTCTTTCCTTGATTTTTTCCTTCCTTCGAGAGAGGAAGGGAGAGGGAAAGAGAGAAGCATTGATGTGAGAGAGAAACATCAATTGGCTGCCTTCTGTGCACCCTGGGGTCGAGCCCACAACCCAGGCATGTGTCCTGGCCTGGAATCAAACTTACAACCTTTCAGATCACAGGATGCTGCCCAATCAGTGGAGCCACACTGGCCAGAGCTCCTCCGACACTCTTTCTTTCTTTCTTTCTTTCTTTCTTTCTTTCTTTCTTTCTTTCTTTCTTTCTTTCTTTCTTTCTTTCTTTC